TCATCATTTATAAATAAGTTATATTTAAAAATTTAGAAAAATCGATGAAAAATACATTTGATATTTATTAATTTTAATCTTAAAATGAATTTCTTTTTTATTCTAAGTTCATGTAACTTATTATGAGGTGTATCTTAAAATGTAATTTTGCAAATTTAATAGGCAAATTGTAAATATACTCTACATAAAAGGTGTATCTTATAAATTTTTCTTTTTTAAAAATATAAGTTGATGTCTTACTACTTAAAAATTGTATTAGTTTGTGATGGAACTTCCCGCCTTTAAGGGGAAGATTGTTACGAACTAATCTCACGTAGAAAGAGATTAGAAGAGGAAAAGGAAAAAAATAAAAAATAAAATTAAACCTTTAATGTAGCTCAGTCTCACATGGAATAAAAATAGGAAGGCACATAAAAAAAAAAAAAAAAGAGGTGATATATAAGAAGCGTCTCACTAAAGAAAATATTGCACGTAATAATAAATAGAGAATCTAAGAAAATGGAGAGAAATGGAAAGAAAAAATATTCATTTTTGTAATTATTAACCTATTTTGTTCGTAATTATTATTTAGTCTCTCGAATTTTGAATCTAAGCTAGTATCTAAGAAGCATTTAGCTTCTAAGCTTCTTTGTTGCTCTTTTTATGATTTGGTTAAAGAAGAGTAATGTGTGTTAGTGATAAAATTAGCACATATAATTATTTTCGTTAATTTTGGTGAAAAACATTTCACATTATTTGAATACCTTAGAATAATTTTTAATATTTTAGAATTAAATTGATATTAAACTTCAAAATATTAAAAGTATTTGCCAGTGTTCTAAATGGCGACGCCAAGACGCACTTTGGTGCCGCCTAAGCGTGATGCTTGGTCAAAACACCAAGTCAAGTGGCTTGACGTCTTATTTTGCAGTCAAAGGTTAAAGCGCGTCTAGGCGCAATTATGTATGCATCGGCGCACATTATCATCTTTTTTTATTTTTTTTATTTTTAAAGTTTGTGTTGTTAAAAAATTATCAACGGCTAATTTCTTCATTTTGCCCTCATTTAAAACAATCACTTATATCGGAAGATACGGAGGACGAAATAGATGAAAAATAGGATATTGAATTGGAGTCTGATAAAAAAGTTTGTATTTAAGTTTGAAATTTATCTTCTTCCTTTTTTTTTTCCTCTTTCTTTTTTTTTTTTTTTTTGGAAACTTTGAAAAATTGTGTAATGTTCTTATAAATCTGTTTTAAATGTTTAGTAAGTATTTTTTAAATTATTAAATAATTTTTTGGTTTATTAAAAATTAAAATAATATTAAAATAAGAAAACACATTTTTACACCTAAACCTCACCTAGCCTCGTGTAACCCATAACTTGGTCTCCATGCATCGTCATGCATTACACCTTTTAAAATATTGGTATTTACTCTTGAAAGAAAGTTATTTATTTTAAGTAAATAAGAAGGTGCCACTTTGAATTTATCAAATTGATGGTTATTTTTCGCATTTTAGATGTGTTTACAGTTCAAGTTTGAGGAAAAGTATAAAATAATATGCATGAATTTTGCCCTTTTAATACTTCCACAAGATATTATATATTAAACAAGGAAAACAAATCAAAGTATAATTAATTGTGACATACTATCTAATACTATTTATCAAACGTGCCTCAATTTTTTGCCATCTTTTCTTAGTTCTTCAGTTAGATTTTTTAACCCGTAATGATTGTTTATATTTAATTGAAATCAATAGCACAATTGACAAATTTTGTTAATTATCTAGTCATGTTTGACCTTCATTTTCTAAAACTCATTTTTCCTCAAACTTATTTTGTAATACCTTAGTAACAAAAAAATAAAATAAAATAAAATAAAAAATAAAGAAGAAGAAGAAAAAGAAAAAGAAAACATTTTAATTAAATTTCTAGGGATTATAGATATATTGCATTTGGTTGAAGTTTAGCAAGAATTAAATGCTATTGATATGTGTTTAATGTATTAGGAAATAAGATTAATAATGTAAATTGGAAGATAGATGTTGAAGTGGAAAAATAAATGAAATTGGTTTGTAAATTATAACTTCATATCTTAAATTTGTTGTGTTTATATGATATAAACACTTGGTTTATGAGATATTAGAGTGGAATAAGGATTTATAGTTTTGATTTGGTATTTTCAGCTCATTTTCTCCAATTTTGGAACAAAATTTTCACATTGGTGCTATTTTTAAAATTTTTCCCAGAAAGTGCTACTTCTAATGATTTCGGTGACATTTTCCAATACAAAGAACTTGGTGCCAGAGTTCAATATTTTAGAAATATAGTGCTGTGTTTTATTTTTATTTTTTTATTCTTTTGATTTTCTTGGATTTTTTAGTATGAAAACCAAATTAAGTGTTAAATATTATGGATTAGGTGTTAAAATAATTTATATAAAAGTATATCTTGTTAATGATCAAAATTGGGATTAAGAGATTGAAAATAAAAGACATAAGTTTTTATTGGTAAATTATCATGTTTAATGGTGAGAAAAATGATTAAAGCACGGGGAATGTACAAAATTGTCACCAGAAATGAAAGTTAAAAAAAAATGTCATTTTCACTTTTTGTGAGCAAAAATGTCACATTTTTGGGGTGCAAAGTCCAAAATACCCTTAATCACACATTTCTAGTAGCATTAAATGCTTGATGTGAAGGAAAAGCATTGACTTGATAGAAAACATGGATAAATGTGTATTTTATTGATTAATATGAATTTTTGTTAATAAAAAATTATCAAATAAATTAGAAAATGAAATAAAAACAAGAAACCCTACCTCTTTTCCATCTTCTTCATTTTCATTGATCAAGAAAACATTTGTGTTGCATTCTACATCCACTTTGAGAGGTTAGTAATTACAAATTAATTTATATTACTTTTATAACTTTGTATTTGTACATATTAAATACAACATGGGCATATTTATTTGAAATTACTTTGAAAGTATTATGCATTCATTTGTTTGATTTTTTTTGAATCCTTAATAAAATGCCATTATCACCATTGAGTAATTTCTTCCATTACCACCATTAAAGTCTCTTTAATGACAAGGTCAATATGCCATTTTCATTATGTCATTTGGTAGGTGAATAATAATGACCACACTTAATATGATGTGTTGAAGAAACCTCAGAAATTCACTGCCGTCTGCTTCCCGACATTCTCGACAGTTAAACTGTCGAGTTCGACATTTACAAATCGTCGGGTTAGACGTTTGAGATGTCGAACCTGACATTTCGAAACTGCCGAGTTATAGAATATTACTTTCAATTTGGATACTTCAAAACGATACAAACCCTTGATTTGAACTTTTGTTATTGTACTGATTTACGTATTATGAAGTGTGAGTTTCATGCTATTAAATGCCAACATATTGATTCCGAATTGTTACCATTGCAATCCCAACATTTCAGGTATGAATAATCATTTGAGATTCATCGTGTCGCATGGGGGAAATTCTGTTCATGCGGATGACGAATGGAAGTGGAGAGGGGACAAAACTACTTCCATTCTGGTGCCAAGAAGTATTACCGTAGCCGAACTTATGTTAAGGTTGAACGAGAAACTTGGTATTCTTGATCCCCGCGCTGAAATTGAATTGAAGTTCAAAGTCCCTAACTTGAATATACCTCCGGCTGAAATATGCGACAATGAAGACTTAAATTGGTACGTATCAGTGCATAAGGAAAGTGCTATTTGCGTTACTGTTTTGGAATCCAATCTCCCAAGTGTTGGCATGGGAAGGGACGCAAATTTTGAAGATCCTTCGTTTGTCGCGGTAGATGTTCAGCAAAATGTGGAACATGATTTGGTGAATCGAATGCATAGTGTCTCAAACAATAATGCACTTGAAACACATGAGTATGATAACGGGAGTGCACCATTAGATGAGAACTTGGATAACCCATCACCTAGTTTAGAGGCTGCTAATTCTGTTGACGTCGAGGACGAGCACTCTTTGTCACATTCGAACGATTCGGATGGATATGAATTTATGAGAACTGTGACTACATCCGATCTTGCCGAAAAGGAAATATTCTTCAGCAAGAAAGAGTTGTACTCAAAAATTCGTGCAGTTGTTTTGAAAAACAAGTTCCAATTTCGGGTGAGCCGGTCAAGCATGAAGATGTTAACCGTTGTATGCGCCGACCGCAATTGCAAGTGGATGTTACGTGCTTCTACTGTGAGGCAGTCTGCAATCTTTGTGATCCGTAAATTCAATAATGTGCACACATGTTCCATTGACTTTCGCAGTAATGCGCATCGACATGTGACGAGTGCTGTAATTGCTGAGCATATTTTCGAAAAATTGGATAATCCGAACAGATCGTATGATCCGAGCACTATTGCACGTGACATGGAACGTGAGCTCGGTGTCCAAATAAGTTACAGCAAGGCACGTAGGGGAAAGGTGGCCGCTTTACATATGCTGCATGGGACACCGGAGGTCAGTTTTCAGAAATTATCTTCATACTGTCACGTACTAGGTGAGAATAACCCGGGGACGGTAACCCACATCGAACTTGATTCTCGCGATAGATTCCATTACTTCTTCCTAGCTTTTGGTGCAAGCATTCGTGGTTACATGCAGTACTTGAGGCCCGTAGTTTGCGTTGACGGTAGTCACTTGAAAGGTCCATACAAGGGTACACTTTTACTGGCAACTGCCCAAGATGCGAACAAACAGATTTATCCCTTAGCGTGGGGGATTGTGGATTCCGAAACGAACCGATCTTGGATGTGGTTTATGTCTAACTTGAAAGATCTTATAGGAGACTCAGATGAACTTGTATTTGTTTCGGACAGGAAAAGAAGTATCGAAAGAGCTATTACTCACTTATTTCCTTTATCTCGTCATTGTTGTTGTATGTGGCATGTGGAGAAGAACCTAATTCGGCGGCACTTTAACGCAAGTTCAATATTCCTGTTCAAATGAGCTGCTGCGACTTATCGGGTCGAAGAGTTCAAACGACTAATGGGACAGATTCGTAGGGTGAGTGAAAGATGTTACAGGTATTTGGAGAAAGCCGGTTTTTCATTCTGGTCACGAGCACTATTCGTGGGAGACCGATACAACATTATGACAAACAACAACGCGGAATCATTGAACTCGATGCTGAGACATGCTCGTTCATTGCCAATCACGTGTTTGGTCGAGCACATTCGTAAAACAATGCAGAGGTGGTTTTACGAACGTCGAAGCAATGCAACCGCATGTAGTACTATATTATCGTTGAGGATGGAAAACGAGTTACAAACAACATTTGAAGCTGGTACTAGGCTTCGAGCCCATCAGTTGACAAACAGCTTGACCCAGGTTGGAATATCCAACGATACGGAGATAGTGGACTTCTCCGATAACACGTGCACATGTCGTGAGTTTCAACTAAATCGTATGCCATGTGCTCATGCAACTCGTGGGGCTACCCTGAGTGGTAAGTCATTATACGATCTATGCTCTCCGTACTATACATCGGAATACTGGAGGGGTGCCTATATGGAAGTCATATATCCCGTTACACGGGAACTGGATTGGGTTGTTCCAAATGAAATCCTAGGCACTCATATTTTACCACCGACCGTACGTCGTCCTCCAGGTAGACCACCGACGCGACGTAAGCGAGCTAGATACGAGTCCACTTCCCAACTGAGGAAATGCACTCGATGTGGGAGACTTGGTCATAACCGGACCACATGTTCGAACCCTATTGTATCACAAGCCACTTGAAGAAGCGTGATCCGTAAAAGTGGTTGACAAATGTAATCCCCGAAAAACTTAATTTAAATATGCATTGTACATTCCGAACTTATTTTACGAATCTGTTATTATTATCGTATGCCAGTACAAATTTGGTCGTTATGTTCCGCAAGCAAAGTACCGATCATTACAGTTCCATTATCACGAATGAGATGAATATCTTTTTCGTACTATAAACTTAGCCGATCATAGAAGTTTCATTAGCTTCGACTGACAGTTCGTCGAAATGGAAAACTGATTTTCATGAGACCATACTGAACAAACAAAACACCAACATTACGTCTCGACAGTTCATATGTCGTTCCCGACAGATAGTCTCTGTAATTCTCGACAGTTGGGAACAACAGCGGCTTGAAAACCTACATTACTGCGGTTGCCTATTATGGAGATGCAGTTTCTGCACGTATCCAGAGAATGTGACCAAAATCATCCATACCACAAAATACTAAACATATTTTCGTACAAAAGGGCCATTTATTGCACAGTTGCACTGCTTTTGACAATGTAAGAAGCTCCCCCACTTTCCCCATCAGACTCGTCTGAGCTAATGACAATTACATCTGGAGGTAGAACATGAGGCACCCACTCATTCGAGTCGGACGGTGACTTGACCGGGCCCCTAACCTCGAAGACTTGATCGAGAACGCTGTTCGGTGACTTAGATTCTGCACTTGACACTACGTCAAACTCGGCACCATGCAGTTCAACTCTTACGTCCTTATCATCTGACAACAAAACGATGGGAAACTCAGCGGATGAACCCAGTATGGGTGGATGCATATTGGAGTTGAATGTTTCATTGCTAGAGGTGGATGAACCCATTATCTCGTATCAACTACCTGTTTCAAAATGGAAGCCTCACAACAGCTTTAATGACATACGAAATGTAATTTGATAGACAATGCTTGTAATGCATTCATTATGATAGTATAAATGTATTGGAAATACTTGTTACTTGCAAAAAATCAGAAACGTATAATATCTACAATAGCATGTTACACTAACACACTTGTATTGGACAATCCCACCATTTTCAATTATCGAAACGCAAGGAAGTTATAAAATTTAATGGCCCGCCTAGTTGAACTGTCGGGCCCGACAGATGTTTTCTTCCTTCTCAACAGTTGACGAAAACATGCATTGCAGTAAAGAGTGTATAATTTTGAATTTTGGTAAACTGCAGAATAAATGAAGAAGAATAAATGTACGCATACATAATTTTTTGCGCAATACAATATACGAGCGTTGATGAACATTGAATGAAGGCACTTAGTACCGTAAGTACGATTGACATAACATAATAAAGCCGGATAACTAATACAAGTTCTAACACTACAATAATTTCAGCAACGGTAAACGGTGACAAGGCATTCACCACGGGAATTGCAAAATGTGATGAATGCTTCTAAGTGTCACCAAGCTTGCCAACTACCCTGTCTGATATGTAAATCACAAAAAATAATGAACAAGGCACCAATATAACACGAAGTAACTAACATCCTTCACCACGTAAATTATGTCAAACAAAATACAAAAGCATGCTGAACCCCATCATCGTGCTATGTTCGGCAATTTATCCACAAGTATTAATGTTTTTGCTTTGCGCTCCCCCTCGTGTACGGAATCCTGGTAGCAGGTACCGGACGTCGCAGTCGTGCGGATCTCCGTCTATTTGTCGTAACTGCCCGTCCTGGTCGGGCAACATCGGCGGGAACTGGGAAAGTTACAACATAAGCAACTGAAAACGAAAATTAAATTCAATTGTCAGAAATGAAGGCAATACCTTGCACTTCATCCACTGCAACAAGCGCTAGCACGAGGTCATTGTCAGGGCATGGCTCAATGTGTACTGTGTCTGTCGAAAAGAACAATTAAATATTTTCAGTGTATAACTACATGTACGAATTTTCAAATTATGCCAAGTACATGAAATAACAATCTACAAGTTTTCCTCATAAATGACCCACATACCTTGCAAATTTATGGTTCC